CACTCTTTTGCAACATTTGCAGCCGCAACATGAGGCATACAAGCTCCTTCACCAGCACTTGCCCCAGCACCTGCAACAACTTGAAGATATGCAATACCAAGATTCTGCAACACCTCAACGACACTGGATTCCTGCTTAATCGGGACATTCTGGGTGTTGCTAACCTGCGCTAGGGCAACAACCTACTGCTCGCCCGACGATTCTGCCACGTCTGGTCGGCGGCCGATTGTGGTTGCAGCCCCTTCCAAGTTCCTTTCCTTGCTGGAAAAGTACAAYTCCATCAAGCGCCTTAATTCTCGGACGTCGTCCTTGATCTCGCGCACCTCCGTGCTGTTTTCCACGATCTTGAGCTCCAGATCCTGAACCCTAGTCTTCAACTGCTCAAGGTCACCCATAACGCCTTGCTCTGATACCAAGTTGTTATGGGCCCGAGAAATAGGATCTCGTCATGGGTCGATCCACGGGGAAAACCTCCTGTTTTCCCTTGTTCCTCCCTTTTCTTGAAGAACCTATCTTGCCGCCCTAAAAGGTGATTTGTTCAAGAGATCACCAACTCTTCTTTGCTCTCTTTCTTAACTGAAATTTTCGATACCTTTATTGAATAATATCAGCTCCTTAAATAGGAGATTACAAGAGGTAGAATCCTACTTTTAGGAGGACTCCTTGCTAATCTACTACTCTATCCTATTAAACTGATAAGATAAGACTGAACTGATAAGATAAGAACACTGACTAATCCCTTCTACTGAAAGCAGATAAGGTAAGAATACTGAATAGATAAGATAGGATGAGAACACTAAATTGCTGCTGCTGAGAACACTAAATTACTGCTGCTGCTGCACTAAATTACTGTTGCTGCTGCCGGCACCCACATCAGAACCATGTGTATTTCCACCAACCAAGTAATTAAGCACTACAAATCAAAGGTTGGTGAGTGTGTACTACTAAAATAGATTACACACAACATCGGAGCTTAATAATTACTTATATATACCCTGTATATTTCGGAATCTACTTAAAAGTACCCTGAACTTTTAAAACCAACTTATATATACCTTATATGATGACCCCACATAACACAAATAGGCAATCTGTTAAGGAAACATTCATGACTGTTTCACATGCCCATTAATTTTTTTTAAATCCCAAATGTACCCTTCTATTATTTATCATCTTCAAACTAAGATGTTGCGTTTCTGTTACAAACCACTATAGCGATTTCTCATCAGTGACACATGAGACACTGGAGCAATCAGGCAAGGAAATCCTAAAAGAAAAAGAAATGGAAAGGCTCATCGTCAAAAACCAGGCAGAATAGAGCTTCACCATGTCAGAGATGCAAATATTTGGCAATCCCCACACCAACCAACTCGCACTCCCCAGATTATGCCAACCCAAAAGCTGCAGTTCATTGAGTTGAAATCTTGGCCAAAACCATTGATTTGGTCAGCGACCCACTGACCCAAGCGGTCGAACTGTCTACCCATTCAACAGTTTTTGGCCATTTTTTATTTTACTTTTTTAAGTTGGAATGGGCTGTCCGTTCGAACTGGATGATTGAAACTGTCGACCCAAAAATTGGTGGCCAAAACAGTTCCGGTTCCAAGTCAGTTTTTAAAACCTTGCTTAACCCAATTATATAGGGTTGTGTATCACCATTCTGTTCTGCTTAAAGCCATATCAATTGTTAAATTATGAGTTCTCAAATTATTTCTTACTACTTCGACCCATATCCTTTCTGGTTTACCCCTAGCCCTTCTAGCCCCTTCAACTTGCAACAGGTTGCTGCTTCTTACAGGTGCTGACAAAGGTCTTCTATGCATGTCACTAAACCATCTTAGTCTACTTTCTCTCATTTTATATATACATTCATATGTATGTATATGTATATACATGATATATATTCTTATATAACATTATAATTTTTTTAGGAAACTGTACCTGCTTTGGAACCAGGCTGTAGGTCAAATGGGTTGGTCCATTCAAAAATTGCCAGAGTTAGTAGTAAGGATGGGAACTAAGTGCTACAGACAGTCTTTTTTTTTTTTGATAAATGTACTACAGACAGTCATTTCATCACCCACCATTGATCACGATCATGGTTAATGAGTCAACAGTTTGGATTTCCAGTGCCACACTATCATGCAAACAGGCGCGTCCACACACACACACACAGATAGTGTGTCATAAGCATGTGAAGTTAAAGCATCAATGCATGTTTCAAATTGCTAGGTGCTTATATCCAGCCAGGGATGCAACTTGGGCAGGCTAGTACAGAATTAGGGTGATGTAGTGTAGGTCCAACCCAATCCAAACAAATCAGGTTGGTTCTGACTCAGGCAGACCTGGGTGGGATTGTTTCTTCAGGTTGTACAATCCAGTTTAGAGGATTAAAAGAAACATGTAGTGTGCTTGTCTAAATGGCTCAAGCCAACTATGTATTAGTACATAGTGTAAATATCTACATACATTATGTATAAATATTGTACGTATATCAATCTTTTGAAGATAGAAATCGTAAAAAGGAAAAAATAGTAAAATAAAAAAAGACAGTACAGTACAGTGATAAGACATCACCCTAAAAAGTCCAAAAACCCCACCTAGAACTACAAGAAGAACCAGACAAGAAACCGGCAACCTTGAACTATGTGCCAACCCACACCTTCAGCACAGCTATTCCAACTTCTCAACTCCACTGTAATTTTCTTGATCCCCTTCTTAACCTTCTTTACCTTCTTGTTCAGAGCAATACCAAATAAACCCCTATATCAAAAGACCTTAGAAATTTGCACAACCCTTTGACTTTTCTGCCTTTTAAATCTTTTTGCCGCATTAGGTATCAATTCCGGATCCTTCCTATCACAGACTACCAATATCTCCTTAGCACTTGCCTCACCCCTGACATCAAGATCTTTAACCAGGACATCTTTCACAACTAGAGCTACTTTGTAAACACTTTCTTGGCCATCGATTTTAACAGAGTCATCCAAAACCTGTAAACCTTGGTCACCCCCTACTACCAAATTGCTCCTGGGACTATGCTTACTGAAACTTCTTTTTCAACTCTCCGAAAGCCTTTCTTGCAATCTCCTACCCTCCCAAAAAAGAATAAACCCATAATTTTACTAACTTTAACTTCAGTATTCACAACTACTTCCAAATCAACTGAATTTCCCACCATACAAGTTTCATCAATCATGGTATCTTCCTCTAGGTCACCATCCTCCTCACAATCTTCATCTGAAGTGTCTTTATCCTCCAAGGTTTTGTCCTATACTTCTTCCTACTATAGGCCTGTATCCCAGACTTAGGTTAGTCCCTTCTCACAAGCATGTCTCCAGGCACAAAAACCCCTCCCTCCAAAGCTGCTTCTGTAAAACAACCTTCTTTGACTACGCCGTCCTGGTACTCATCACAAATTCTGGATGTATCTACCCTTTCAACTTTGCAGTCAACCCTCCTCTTGCGTCCCCAGTCCACTCCCACCCTTACAATCACCACCTCAAAACAAGTCCATGAGTTATCCAAATCCAAAACCTCCTTCAACCTATCATCAACCCAGTTCACCATCCCAACAATAACATTATCCCCACCATTAGTATCTTTCGACTTATCAGTAGTTCCAGCTGAGAGCCTTATATCTGTTTCAAGAGACCCAATGCCGGACACCATCTTAATGCTTTACGAAATCTCCCCAGTCGATTGAACGTCCAAACTTGACTGTCAAAGATAATAGACCAACAAGTGACCACAAGATCAGGGTCCAAACTGCTATCTTCAGTAGATCCAGACAGATATAAAGAAGCATGTCTCCATGGCCTTTGGATCCCAGCCCTGAGCTCAAACCCATTGACACAACTCCAATCGAATTTGCAGGGATCTTCTTCTTGACTAGGCTCTTTGTCATAGTGTCTGGCAAACCGGTCTCAGGAATTTGAGCAAATTTGGTTGTCACCATATGTACATGTGGAGTCCGGATCTGCTAGTAACAAACAATGCTAGGTACATCATAGGTTTGCTCCACCTGCCAACAACACCTCGAGAGTTTTCAAGTTTTGTAGAGACATGGCACAAACCTATGATGTTACTAGCTTTAACAGATCCACTCCTGTATGTGTGTGTGGCTTTGTGTCCATACGAGCCTATCATAGTATCATCAAAAATGCATGTCTGTTATAGGAACCTTGGGCTTGAGTTACAAGAGATCTCAACGAAGCCCAATGCATGAATGCATGCTAGGATCAGGAGGGCAGACTTTCCAGGTCCAGGCCCAGAAGAGTCCAAAAATGGATCAGCTGTTAAAAAAATTAAGGATTTTTTCTTTGATTAACTATGGGTTCTCAATCTCATGAGTCACAATCATCCACCTGAAGCTTACAGATAAGACTTCCTATTCCTGTTGTTTGCATATTTGTTGAAAAGTTTGTGTTGTTAAACCTTACAGAGAAGCTTTAGCTGTACTTTCTTCTCATAAAGCTTTACCTAGACTTTGACAGCAATAATTGGTATAGGCGCAATCAGACTTGACTGTGACCTCCAACATTCTTCAGGAAGTTCTATACGAGTCTCATAGGCAATATGAGTTTGCTAGTAGCAATGCAAGATGTGATTCTTCTACAACCTCGTAAGCATGACCATTCTCCACATGGATAAACATTTCTCAAATAACAAATTTGCAAGAATTTTCTGACTAAGAAGTATTTTCCCCTAATCAGCCTAGTCATTCAATTTCTAACTCTTGCCTATGCAGAAGTTGACAAAAAACTTTTATACACATCATAGTGTGTTTGGTCTAAAGTGAACTACTGAACTCTATATAATGGTGCATTTCTACAGAAACCGAATCCTTGGATGGAACAACTGAGGAAAAGAATGTCTGCAGAACTTACAGAGTTCACAAGAGTTCTTGGACCATTTCCTTGTCCCCATAAATTATCATTATTTGCCACAGGTTATACAAAGAACAAAGATAGTGTTTACTTCACACAGATCTAAATGGTGTTCACAAATCCTGGTAACAGATCGAGTAAATGCATACTCTATAGAGGCCATTACACAATGGGGGTCCCCGTTTTTTGGGGTCTTAGGAGTGGTGGGCTGGATACAGACCTAACCTTTGGCTTTTTTGGCACAAAGTGGCCATTCTGAGACTCAAACCTGTGCTGTTTTGCTTGCTAGCCCACGGTTTTATCATTACACTATGCAATAGGCCAATGGCCCCTAGCACATAAACTCTATATCAACCATAATCCAAATTCCAGAATTAAAAAGCAATGTAGAATCACACTATCTTGCATTCCAGTAATCAGTAAATCAAAAAAAAAAAAAAAAGAACCACCACAATTCACAAATATAACCTATTTCCAAAAAATATATATTAATGTGTTTCCAATGAATCACCAGAAAACACAAATACAAAATGTGTCAAACAAAGTATAAATAACAATAAGTTAACAGAAGAATTATCGCAGATATTTAATAGTAAAAAAAATATTGCATGGATAGAAGGAAAAAAGACCAAATAACACATTTACCATAACAAGTATGGTATGAAATAGTAACAAGACAGAGGCTGAAAGAACTTACCAATCCATGTAAATAAAAGTTGATGAGTAGTTGCCAGATTTAGTATAAAGTATTCGATGATGATAGTCATGAAAATCAGCTCTGTGAAATTTTGCAACAAATGTTTTCAGGCATAAAAAGTTAGTAAATGATACAAACAAACATGCCCCAAACTAAAGCAACAAGGAGATAATGGCAACTCACCCTCCATATAAAGGAAAAAAATTTGAAGGGCTCCAGGGGAAATGGTACCCACAGTGTGCCTCAACTGTCTCCAAGACTCTTAATATCATCCACAACCACAAAGTGAATAGATGAGGCCCAGTGATAGCAGGGCCAACAATGGTTGCAAATCCAAGGAATAATATCTCAGCAGGGTGAGCATACTCAGAAGTCAGTCCAAATGGAGTAGCATATCTGGTCATGAGACAAATCAACCTATAAGAGATTGATGGAGGAGGAACTGAATCAAAGTTATTTTTAGAAGAATGAAGTTTTGTTAAATTTTTTAACTAAACATATCTATTTCGCTTACTCATGATGGATACTGTGAACATGCTTGTACAACCATTTTGTATGTAATATTCTGTGCCCCCAATAGAACACAAAGTCTTCAAGGATGAAGTAGAATAAAATTTGCAGCAATACAACTTTCCTGAAGAACCATAAACACCTATAGTCACTCCAAACAGGATAATGCTAACTACACATCAGGGGAAAACAGAGAAGGCATTAAAAGGAACGAACGCAGCTTGTTTAAAATAATAAGCATGAATAACTGCAAAATGTTTGGAAATTGAAGCTTTATCATCTAAAGAACCTGAAAATACCAGGACGGCAACGGCAGAGTACTTCGCATGCCCATGTATCTGAAGACAGGATAGGAAAGAACCATGACAGGTAAATTCACGCCAAAATGATATAGCAATAGGCGGGTAATACATTTCTCCTGAGCAGCAGGGGTGTTATTTTTGGACTGCAGATAACCACAACTTATTAGATTAACCAATATAGTTCAAGCAAGAGGAATCCCCTTCTATTACCAGAACAGCACATTGCAATTCACATCCTGAATCAAATCCCTTCTTAACTTATTTAATGTAGGACAATGTTTGATAAAAGCAAAGGACATCTTGAAGCAGTAAAAGGATGGAATACTTCCAGCAATGCTTTAATTGATAAAGCAATGATTAAAAAGACAGGTTTGGAATATGGCACCATCGACCCTGTCCACATGGTAAACTAATAAAAGGACCATTATCCAATGTTGGTCTCAACTATCCAGAATGTTGGGAGGAGTGTACTGGATATGGACCTAACCTTTCGCATTTTGTGCAGTTTGCACAAAGTGGCCACTCCCAAACTTGAACTCATACTTTCATACTCATTGGCCCAAGATTTTACCACTGCACCAAGCAATGGTCCCTTTGTCAAATAGATTAAAAGGACTTGCAGGAATTTCCACCAGATGATCTTTGGTGGTTAGACATTCCTAACTTCTAAGCAGAGAATAGAGAAACCATACCACAAAGAACCACGAAACCAAGTAATATCAAGTGGTTTACCAGGAGTGATATCATTTAGTTTGGGGCAGGGATAACTGGAAGCAATGGCCAGCCCCATTGAAATCGGCACTTGATGATCTTTATCTTGTCTAACCTTCCTACTTTGGTAATTGGTCCTGACCTTGCCACCTTGAGATGTGGAAATTTTTGTGTATGAACTCAACATAGAGTGATAGACCTTTCTTCTATGTATTTCTTTATATTTTTTTCTGAATGGAAATAGAGAAGGAAAACCAAATCCTTTGGGTATCCTCAAGAATCATGTCTATATTATGTGTGTACACGTGTTTTATACTGGACATTGTTACATATCAAATTAAATTATACTTAAAAATAAAAAATATAGAAGAATAAAATGACAATGATATTAAAATGAGAACACATAATTCCAAAACATTAGCCATATCCCTGCTCCCTGGAATTTGGATATGAAACTTTCACTTTATGGACATTAAAGCAAAGTCAAGCATACAACAAATGGCATCTAACAATGAAACAACAGTGATGGAATCAATGAAGAAGAGTTCTATGAACTTCCAACAACCTTTTGCTTCAGAATTTGCAAGGTAATTGAAAATAAACTGGCAGCATGTATATGAACATATCACTACAAGTTTAGTTAGGCTATGTTTGGTTTGAAGGAAAAGGTAGGGAAAGCAACAGTGATGGAATCACTGAAGAAGAATCCTATGAACTTCCAACAACCTTTTGCTTCAGAATTTGCAAGGTAATTGAAAATAAACTGGCAGCATGTATATGAACATATCACTACAAGTTTAGTTAGGCTATGTTTGGTTTGAAGGAAAAGGTAGGGAAAGGAAGGGAAATGTAAGGAAACCTTTACAAACCTTGTATAGGTTTCCCTTCCTTTCCCTACTTTTTCCTTCAAACCAAACACAACCTTAAGGAATGCATAGGCCATTTTTTAAATAAATTCCAACGGTATAAGAGATCAGACTATGCTAACATTTGACTATAAGAGTCACATAATGAACAGGAGCAATATCAATCTATGATACCCAAATACCCATACATGGACGACACTGTGTAGATACTTCAATTTTTAGTGTAAATATCATATCTGACAACTTATCCAGAACCAAAAATTTCCTTGCCGTATCCAGATATCACAGATATCAATGTAAAGAAATGTATGTCATTTTGCACAAATTATGTTTGCATATTGCAGTTAATGAAAACAAGCTCTGACTAGAAAAAGACTGTAGAGACTGTTGAAATCCAATATTTCACAATTGCAGTAACATGATGCAAGTTCTCATTCTAAGAGCCAGAGTAGCCTCAACTTCTGTGTATGTAGCCACCTGTAAAACACATCCTGTTTTATGATACATATAGATGGTACTGCCCATACACCCATGGTGCACAGGTGTGGATGGTAAATGGGATGCATAGCATGCACAAAACGGCGGATGCACACCAAATTGTCAATACTAAGGCACAGTATAATAGAGAAATCCCCTCCAAACTGGACAGCTGTACCAACCCTCCTTGTGTCTCTGATAAAGTATAACTCCACAGGATGTCTTAAACAAAGATATTGAAACTCGGATTTTCATTTTCTTGTTCACCATTGAGAAAGCTAAGAGAGGAGAAAGCACCTGAATTTTGTATTTGCTCAGGTATCCTGCCCTTTCAAGATATATAAAAGGAAGTCCTGATAAGAAAAAGACACTCTCATGAAGAATGAAACTTCCCAAAGAAGCCAGTTGAAAATCACTGAAATGAGTGATCAGGTACTGCATCATAAACCAAAAAAGAAAAGTCTTACAGTTAGATAACAAAGCTATCTCGCAGAAAATGGGGTTATGATATCATTCAAATAGAAAACAGGAAGAGAGGGGGGACATTCAGGCCAAACTCAAGAAAACATCGCTGACAGTATGGAATCATGACATGGACAAAACACCAAAAAGGTAGTAGACAAGCCTCGATAAACCATTACCATTGGTCCATATAAGCTTTTAAGGCAAAATAAAAAAACGAAAAAAGAAAAATACTTTGCAATACAAGGGAGAAAAACTGAATGTTCAAAAAGAATTCAAGATGATCAGTATAGAGGATCAGTACTTGCAAGTATTTTCCAAGTAACATCATTACAGTTTTACATTGAGAAGAGCTCAGAAGAAAGGAAAGCAAAAAAAAGTAAATAAAAATAAAAACGAGGTCAAAACAATTAATTAATTTGCTTATTAGAGCAAAATGACCAGTATTGGTCAGAATAAAATTGCTTACCACACCATGCAGATTGACAAACGTGTCAACAGAATCGAAAGATCTTATTTCATGTTTAAGACATTACTTTTACATAATCTACGTATAATTCAAAACCGAGCTGCGACTATTACAGTATTAGTTGATACTGAGAAAAACATCCCTTACAGTATTCCTGATTACAGTTTAAAAAACCATTCGAATCTCTAAAGCTTCCAAAAAGGTCCAGAACTCGCAATCCACACTTGAATCAGAATCATATCTCAGCAAAAAAAAATAGGATACAATAAAAAATTCAAAGAAAATCAATCAAACCACCCTGCATTTCCAACTCAAGAATATGACAAGATTAAACGAGAATAGTCGTTTTTGCATAAAGCCAAGACATCCACGGATCCGGGACCAACAATGTCATATCATATAATCATAGAAAGAGAGAAACGGAAAAAGAAAGAGAAGCATATAAAAAAATCCATGGAAAGAGATGCAGTAAACAAATAAAGAAACGCAGAATTTAAACCACGAAATTACAGAGATGTAGTGTACGTAGAATCAGTACCAGCCAGCAAGATTCCAGAAGAGATGCCATTAATACCGGCGGGGAGAGCTCGACCTCCGGCGCGTGATGACAGAGAACGAAAGAAGATTCGAGAGGAAGATGAAAAAAAAAAGGAAGAAAGAAATAAAAAAAGAAGTGGAGGGAACAAAGCGAGATGAAGAAAGTGGAAGTGTGTGAGCCCTATATCTGGGTTCGAGACTTCTAGTCGAGACACACCACCATCCCACGGCCGTGACAGACTGTCCATGTGAAGAAGGGCAATTTTGTGTTTTTATTTTTTTCGCCCTTCTATAATAACATTTTGTTATTAATAATAATATCCCACGCCAAACACAAGTAGTTTCAGGCTTAAAATGGCTTAAGAAAAGGCTTACTTAAAAAAACACAGGCAGTTATCTCAAAGCCACAACGCTGCAGGGTCCAGGTGGCTAGCGGATGATGGTAGATCAGTCTTCTTTTTATGCTTTGACAAAAAAATAAAGAAAAGAAAAAAACTCGAGTAGCTCCACCGAGGGAACCTTGCGATGTACGAGCTTTATTAAATGTAATTGATTTTAAATTAATTAAAATAAAATGGGGTAGAGATATGTTGTATGGACCAGGACAAGGGAACAAGATTATCGGTAACAGGCGTGAATGCTTTTGTGGATTAATGGTAAAACTAGAATGGATATAATTAGGAAAGAAGTCATGCAGTGTAACTTAGGAATAACTCAAATAGATAATAAAATGAAGGGAAAAATATATGAGATTGTTTTTTTTTATTTTTGGGATGCAATGAATACCATCTAAGTTGAGGGGACAGATTGAAAATGGTTTTGAGTGAAAATAATAAAAAATGGTTTAAGTATTCGTTAATCATCATACTAGTGGGAAATTCATATAAACACTTAAAAGAAATTTTCACGTGTTCTGTTTTTAAATATTGATTCACTAAAGTATTTCATATAAAAGAATATGATCATATAGTAATAGTTTTTGAGTTCTACTTCATAGTTGTCATTTGTTTTACATTAAGAATTCCTAATTGACCTGGATGGTGGGGCCGTTTGGCTCAAGAACCGTCTAGGCAACCGGTTCCGTTTTACCCCAAATCTGATCCCTAGCCAAAAATTGTTGAATCAGTCAGCGACCCGTTGATCGAACCATCGATCTGTCGATCCGTTCAATGGTTTTTGGCCATTTTTTGTTTTTAATTATTCTTTTTTTTATTTTAGTTGTCAAAACGGATTGTCTTTTCGAACCGGACGGTCGAACCGTCGACCTAGAAACCGGTGGCTAGAACAATTCCGTTTCTGGGTCATTTTTTCTAGATGTCAATAATTAGACGAAATAACTTTATAGTCATAATTATGGGAATGGTGGACATTGTGAGGGATTCCAAAACCTTGAAACATAAAAATCCAAAGTAACCTTAAACACAGAAAAAAATTTATAGTAAATCCACCAAACTTGAAAAAACAAAGAAAAAAATCAGAAAATCAAATAAAATTAAGGGAAATATATGAGATTGTTTTCTATGATTTAAGTACTTGTAATTTAATGATGATATGACATCCTAAATGGTGAGATAAGATTGAAGTGGCTGACCCCATATTATTGGGATAAGTTTTCACCTACTCTTTAAAAGCGCTCCTCATACTGACCTCATAGCATATTCTCGATGTAAAGTCAGGACATGTTATAAGATTAGTGTGAGGAGCAAATACGAACTTAGATTGGAATTCAACTTAATTGTATTGACTATCTTGTTAGACTCGATTACTAAAGTAGAAATGCATTTGATGGTGCACAATCTGGTGCTCCTTGCCGGAGGATAGTTTCGATGCTGAACTAACCAGGTCAGCTGGCCAAGTTGCAAGAAGACAGAAGTCAAAGTACCCAGAGTGGGCACTCCGATGCTTAAGTTAGCAATGAGTGTTTGGATACTAGAAAGCAAGAAAGCAATGTAAATGCTAAATCACGCATACCTTCTCTGCTCAATGGGGTGCCTTTATATAGACGAAGGTTAAGGTGGGCTTCACGTAGCGTGTTCGAGATCACTCGGGGGGACATGGCTTATCGGCCCACCTCGCTCGAATGTGGTTTTACACTTGAAATTGGCTTCTGTGTAAAGCGATAGAACTTATTCATTTGCCTCCAAAGTGGGCGGGGCGGAAGTTAGTTCCGTCGGTGAGGTGACGCAATCCCGAAGGAATCGAATACGATAGCCCACTCTTGAAGGAGGTCAGCCACCACGTCAAGCAGATCGCCAATTGTGACTCAGTTAGGTCAGCAAAGGTGGATCACCTCTTACACCAACTTGACCTTATCAAAATGTCCGCAGGTCGGTCCTATCGAGATGGCTTCGGGATAGTTAAGGCAGGCAAAGTGTGTTCGAGGTGCTTCTAAAGTTTCATGAGACGACTCCGATGTGCCACGTGCCACAATGTCACTGGTGGCCAAATCACTCCTCATCAACAATAGACATTTCAATAACTGTTATAGTGGCAAAAAGAAATGTTTTAGTTGTTAGACCATTAACCATAAGCAATTGGTACAATAAAAAAAATAATTAATAGTATTTGTTCAAAAATAACATTCACTTGCAAATTTTGTTTTATGCATGCATTATTATATAAAAAAAGGGGTTTTTATAGTTCAGTCCACCCTTAGGGTGGAGCTAGGATTTCTAGGTGTGGACTGAATCCTGCCTATGGATTGATGCCATATTCACGGGCAAGATGCGGTTTATGGGCGAGGGGCTACTAGTAGACTAGGAGGGGCTACAATTCAGATTTCTGAGGTGGATTGCAGTCCACTTATCCCTAGAAAAATACTTGTCTTACTTTGGTGCAGGATATAAGACTTAAATCAACTAGCATATCATTATTTGAACACATAAAATAGCATGTGACCTTACACTAGTAATCACCTAAAAATAAAAAATTTCATCTAGAAATGTTCCCAAAATGTCTTAGCTATTAAAGAAAACCTCTACAAAAGAAAACTCTTTAATGACATTATTTGTCCTATCTGCCTTTAACATTTTGAAACCATTTTACACTGTTTACTTGAATGTGAGCATGCTAAAGCAACTTGGTTTGGATGTCATATTAATGATGTGGTCTCTAGGAGCAAATCTTTTTCCTCTTTTAAACAGTGGCTTTCTGATTGGTTGGACATTTGCTTGAAAGACAATGACAAAAATGATGAATTAATTGCCTTCTCCTTTTTTGCTAATGTGGAATATTCGGAAATCTATGAATACTAAAGTTTTTGAAAATGTTGATCCATTCCCTAGGGTCACTCTTCTTGTAACTTATAGGATGTGGAGAGAGAGAGTGATAACTTCCCAAGCAGAATCGCGAGATTCTTCTCTTCATCATTAAAACCTGAGTCAACTACGCACCACTTTTTGGGAAGCACCAGAACCAGGCCATTTAAAGCTAAATGTAGATGGGAGTTTTTTGTGTCCAGGTAGCTCAGGCTTTGGTGCAACACTAAGGAATTCTGATGGGATTGTGATAGTGGCAGTTTTTGGTAAATCCCCAGCCTCATCTCCCATCCAAGCTAAAGCAATGGTAATTCTCAATAGCTTAGAAGTTTTGAGTATGTTAAAGGATGAAGCCATCTTAGTGGAATCTGATTGCTTAGCTCTGGGGCGGGCTTTAAATACAAGAAACTTTGATCTTGCTTTGGATGCAAACTTTTTGTGCATAAATATGAGCTTGCTTACTGAAAATCTGTTAATTTCTTTTGGTCATGTAAATAAAACTTGTAACAATGTTGCACATATGCTGGCTAAAAAAGGTCTAAAAGAGTTTGGGTTGTTTGTCCATGATCCACCTAGGTGGATCCAAGTTATGGCAAACCAAGACTTAATTAGACCTTAATTTGGGATGTATTTCTTTCTGCTTTTCTATTTAATATATCTCTTTTCTTGCCTTCTTCTACCAAAAGAAAAAGTAATGACAATACTAACAAGTTGTTTAGTAATTAGTACAATCTCTGAATCTAGCCTCTTAATTTTAAAGATTTCTCTTGGTGGTTCAAATGCCCATCCGCTTCTTTAACTAATATGGATTTCATCCTCACAAATTTGATTGTCACACCCTCCTCACAACCCTTTTTAGCCATGAATTGGGAATTATCTTCCCATAAATGAAAATATACAAGTTTAGAGATGTTTCTAATGCGTGGCTGTGAGTGTTGTGGTAACAAAATCAGATCTCCTCTTTAACACAATAAAGGGTGTTTTATAACTTGTTCTAAAAGTGAACTTATTCATATTTCAAATAAGACATAGACACCCATGCATTTTATTGTCAGCAAAAAGTCCACATCTCTCACACACCACCATATCTTTTTTGCTTATATTTGGTTGATGAACTTAAAGCTAATGGTAGCCATTTTCTTCTTAGTGTTTATTTCATTTTTTACCCTTCAACTACAAAACCAAAACATAAATTCACAGGGTAAATATGTAAAACTACATTTTTAAATATTATAACATTTAGATATTCAAAAAAAAATGCCACACTCATACCTTTTTTTTTCTTGGAGATCAAAGTACATTTGTACCAAACGCCACCAAGAATTTGGGTTTGTTTCAAAAGTCACAATAGAACTCTATTATCAACTAAAAGAAAATAATTGTTTTTTCAATCTCCAAAAATAAAAAATAATGTCAAGTTCAAAATGAGAAAAAATACAAATAAAAAATGAAAGGAATGTACAAGGGAATAGACTTGTATAATAGAAAAGTAATGCCAGGGACTGGCAATTACAACAAGAGGCATAAGCTCCGCCCCTAGTAAGACTGCCGCAAACGTAATCTAACGTAACGTCATTTGTGAAGACATGTCCTAAAGCAAAAAGGCAAAATTTTGTATTCAATGAGTTCAAGTTAAATTCGAAAGCTCAAAAATTAGAATTAGCAAGTAGAGAACTAATTAGAATCAGAACAGATTTCATGCAAGCGTATGTAGAGCGCGCGCTTACAAGAACGTCTCCTTGTGCTCAGGATTTGTTGTAATCTGTTTGGGTTTTTGAACATTATTAATAAAATTAGCCATTGTCTTCAAATTAAAAAAAAAATGCAACAAGTGTCACTATTTCAATTGCAGTGAGAAGAATTAATTTGGTGGTATTTGAAGGTAGTTTACTCTTAAATCTACATCCAAAACTGCCTACAACCATCGGAAGGACTTACATTAGTGGTGAATTAAAAGAATGCTCGGGGGCTCCACTGCCATCCAC